CCCCAAAACCCCAAAACCCCAAAACCCCAAAACCCCTATTTCTGAAGAATAATTGAAATTTTATGGATTCTCAATATGTTTGCATCTGAAAAATACTTTTGGTAACTCTGGTGAAAATTACAATCTTTGAGATAGAATTTCAGACATCTTATCTCTTTCATCAAGGATGATAGACACTATTTTCGGATCTCCACCCATCTCTTTAATCTGTTCGCTTATACTTCTGATGAACCCATTAACTCCAGATTGGATAATTTTACCATAATTTTTTAGGTGCTCGTTCTCACCAAGTAGTTCTTCATGATTATCTTCAAATCCTTGCTTTTGCATATCCATGAACTCTCTTTCTGGTATATATTGGTACATCCTGCTGCCATCTTCTGTGTCCTGTTTAAGCTCTTGGACTACTTCAATGCTATTTTGGTACTTCCTGTAGTCGAAATCATCAACATTTCTGCCTAATCCAACCTTATTTATCAATAATATTCCTCATTTTCTCGTTAGCCTTCTCTAAAAATTACCCAAAGGAGGTACCAATGATCCTGTCTTTCCTCTTAAGCTCCTTTTGCATGAGTTCTACTTTCCTTTTAAGATCATTGGCTGTCTTTTTAGTCTGGACCAGATCCATCTTCTTCTTCGTGTCATTATCCTTCATCTTGTCTTTAGCAGTAGTAATTTGGTTTTTCTTTGTGGCCACTTCTCTCTCAAGTTTGTTAATTTTATCAACTAGGGTCTGGTTCTTTCTTTGTTCAGAGTTTAGTTCGGTTTCGACTTTTCGGAATTTATCCCCAACTGTCCTTCTGAATCTCATATCTAACTCTCTTTGCTGAAGGATAGCACTGAAGCATTTAATAGTCTTCTTAATTTCCTTTTTATTTTTAGATCTTAGGTTGCCTGGCTCAGGGAATCCATATGCAACTGTCATTATTTGAAGCTTTTGAATAATTTCATCTAGCTGATCAGGTTCTCTTCTCTTTTTACTTTGGCCAGGCATTGCACTCTCAAGAGCACTACTTCCTTCTGTTAAGGGATCATTCTCTTCTAAGGATAAGTATCAAGGATTACCTTCATAGGGATCGAAATCAATCTCATCGCTATTAAGTCTTTTTGCAGGTGAATTATCGAATCTAGAGTTGCCTTTCTCCATTGCTTCTATCAAAAATGGTAATTATATAACTTACAAACCACTTACCAAAGCCAAACTCATGGCCAAAGTTAAAGGCAGACTCTGTGTGGACATCAGATTCTCTATTCCTAATAGTTTCTGGTGCATCTCCAAATAATTCCTTGTAATTATCATCAAATTTTTGGTTGGCATCAGATCTTCGCGGGAAGGGATCCATCTTAACGTTAATAATTTATCAACTCTCACACAAATTTTGGGGTTTTGGGGTTTTGGGGTTTTGGGGTTTTGGGGTTTTGGGGTTTTGGGG